AGTAGATGAACAGCTGAAATAGAGAGTAATAGATACAAATTAAAAAACATTAACATTCATCTTCATTCCAACCCATAAAGTACGACAAATTATTTGTGATTTTTTTTCAAAATTTTTGTTTTATTGCTTAGGCTAATGTCTTAGACATCAAAACTAAGTGCTACAGGTGCAGTAATAGGTTGTTGAACTCTACTAATAACGACAGTATCTAATTATCTAATAGTATATATTTGATTTGCTATCTAATTTATCGCATTAATCTGATTCAAGTATTTTTTTTTAAAACACATGTTATAACATAAAAGGTTATGTAGTGCAATAACCTTGTTTTTATTAAAAGATATGAATTGTTTCAAACATTTTGAGCTGACTGATAAATAAAATAAGAAAAAAAAAAAAGAAAAAATGAAGTAATTTTTATTCAAAAAAAAATGTACCTTTGATGTTCAACTACTATATTTTACTCCAGGTGATCGACTATCATATTTAAGTTTTGCAAAATAAACTATGTATTTTTTTTTATTTTGAAGAAGTAGCGAAACAAACCTGTTAAAAGTGCCTATAGTATAGGTAAGTTTTTTATAACCTGTCTTACTGAGACCAGCGATGAGTGGTATTGTTTTAAGAAATTTTTCGCTGTTTAGTCAAGTTTACAATTGCCAACTGTTAGTGTAATAACTTTTCAAATTCTTTAACATATTATTGCTGTTCACCAACTTTTTCTCTGAAAAAAAATTTTTTTTTTTAAACATAAAACATTCAATGAAAATCACCTTTTATATATATTTACAGTTTAGTAGAAAAAATGACAGATTGTTTAACTGCAACATTTATAAAACAGAACAAATATTTAAATTCAAATCAGTTCACATATACAAATAATAATGTGAAAGTTTAGTGTAACCTAAAATATATAATTGTTGACAGCACTAAATTTGATGTCATATTTAGTTGTTATTTTTAAAACCATTTAATGCTAAACTGTCAAGACCTTCAACTGTTTCATTGTTGTTGCAACAACAACAATTACAACAGCAACAGTTACAGCAATCGCAACAGCAGCAGCAGTTATTGCAGCAGTTATTGCAACAGCAACAGTTATTGCAATTATTTCGATCTACAACAATAGTAACATTTTGCAGTGTTACTGGATCTTCTCTACAATTGCAACAGCAACAGCAGCCCTTATTATTATTGAGGCAGTTGGCTACAGAATTTTGATTACAGCAGTTGTTACAGCAATTATTGCAACAGTTATTGCAGTTATTGCAGTTATTACAGTTATTGCAGCAACAGCAACAACAATCGCAGCAACAGCAATCGCAGCAACAGCAGTCACAGCAACAATTACGTTTATCACGATCGTTATCAACAGTTTTTTTTCCTAATACAAGTTCCAAAAGTTGTTCAATAAAACCTGGTTTTTCAACGTTCATTTCGTCATTGTCTGATACAGAACTGTTACTGCTTTCGCCATTTTCAGCAGATTTTTGAATCTGTTTAACAGCCGATTTAATTTGTCCAGCGATTTCTGCTGTACCGTTACTTGCCAGATTGATACAAGGTAGTCGAATGCAGCAGTGTATGTTAATACAATTACAATTTGAAACTCCTAAAGCAGAAACAATTTTTCGTTATACATAAAAACTAATTCTACTTAAAATTTGTTTACTAATAATGCTTTTCTAGTCATTCTTGGTTTTTTTGCTTTCATTCTGATTAGTTTTTTAGTCTTTTATAAACAATATTTAAATTTTAACAATTAATCATATAAACTTATTGTTTACTGACTGGTAGTCGAAGCTCTGTTACAGTTACCACAACCACTGCAATTGCAACCCTTTGAATTCATTGCTTCATATGTTTGATTTCTATAGTTGACGTTTGTTTCTTCGTTTGTGGCATTTTTGTTGTACAAATTTTGAAACAGATTGAACACTAAACAAAAGTTGGAACTTCTTCTAGTTTAGATAAAATACAGCCAAATCAAACAAAACAAATACAATAAGGTACATAAAAAAGCGCTCTAATTAATCCAGATATGTTATTTTATACCTAAAAATTTCTTAACCATTAATCTATTCTTATGGCATCTGCGAAAAAACCGAAAGTTTTAGATATTTTTTCAAACTCTTCAAAACTACGATATCTGACTTATTCTGTTCTTTCTGTGTAAAATATTGTAGTAAAATCTGCTTGTTGATCTCTTATACTGCGTTGCCTATTTTAGAACAACAGATAGATAACGTACATAAATCGGGATGAAAACACTGCTTAAAACGCAAAATGCATAATGTTTTGAAATAACGACAAAAAATTTCTCTTCCCGATAGAAGACTAACTTTCTTTAACTTTTCAAAAGCCTCTCTTGTGATATCCCACTTTTTAAATCTATTTTTTCGGAAACTGAAAAGCAGTTAACTTTATTAGACAGTTGGCAACTTCTATTCAAATTTTAGATACAACGATCTAGCCAAAAAACAATTATTAATAGTTTCTTATTTTCTTTTTTTTTTTTTTCAGTTTTTTTATCTTATGTGTGGAAAAAACTAATAGTTTTTTTAAAAATCAAGATAAAATAGTAATTGTTCAAATAAATTTTTTAGTTTTTTATTAGTGCTTATTTTTGTTAAATATTACCTTGACCATTCTGGTTTGAATACGAATTTTTACTCTGCATACATTTACAACAGTTG